AAAACATGTAACATATAACAAACTTGCAAATGTTGTGACAGGATAGAGCTCTCCTGAGAGATCATGGTGACGGACGAATCATCAAGCACATCCCTTAGAGACTCGTATGGCTCTGGGATGTTTCTTACGGCCAGGAGGGAAATGAGGCTGTCTGAGTAGCTTCGTGTTAGCACCAACGCAGCCATCATCATCCACACTACCAACATCAACTTCTCCCACCACCAGTACGCGGGAACCAGCAAGTCTGTAATGGTTTCCCAGTAGTTCTCAAGATTACAAACATCACGCAAGCCACCACTACGTGCACCAACACTCAGGAACAGAGATTTCTAATGCAGGATGAAAAACGACGAAGGAGTGAGCGATACCTGGAGCGAGGATTACCTGGAGAGGGTTTTGGCCCCCGCGGCCCGGTCTGTGACCAGGCCTCGATAGATGGGGAAAAAGACACAGATGTTGAAGCAGGAGAGAATATCGCTCAGTACTATTTAGTACAAATAAATATGAGATGGCAGACAGCAGGAAACCCGGTGAACCAAATTGACGATATTTGCTGACGACTAGCTAAAATCTCTGATTGTCTAAATAAATCACAGACAGTATAACAGCACAGTGGAATAGTTTAATGAATGTATTAAGCAAAGATACTTAAAGGTTAACAGTGTTCGGATGAGTGTGAAGGACAATAAGATAATAATCACAGAGATTAAGTGTCTTGAGTAAACAAACCACTTAAGTGAACGGCAGAACCCGGATTGAAAGAGGTATGGGAAATGGGAAAGTACATATGCGGAGGTTAGATAGCAGAATTAACAGCTGAATAATGTGTAGATCATAAATTTACATTGAAACATTTGTAAGTAGTGTGTGTGAAATATTTTCACTCTGTATTCAGTGTGCTTACACAATAAAAGAAAGTCCATTTCGATTTTTTTTTGTATCCATTTCGATTTTTTTTGTAATTGTTATTGTTTTACGCAATTCTTAGAGGATTTCTGCTTATTAGCAAAATTACTAAAATATTATTATTATAATAATTATTATTAATTAATTATATTATTATTATTACTAATTATTATTATTATTATTATTATTATTATTATTATTATTATTAAAACGTAAACTGAATTTTCATAGCAAAGTTAAGGGTTTTTTAAACCATAATTGTTTGATCATCTATAATCTAAGAAGAAAAAACTATAATTTGCTCTTACCTTGTTGTAACAGAATACGAATATAACTTAAGTTATCCGTCGAGCTCATGTGCCTTTTCATCGCATGATAATTAAACCACGAAGATAGGAGGTAATGCATAACAGATAGTATCAGCAGCGCCGCCAGGGTAGCAGCCCATACCAGAGGCGTCAGGGGAAGCAGGAAGCTCCAGGGATCTACCTCCTGATGCCCGCGACCTCCCAGAATCCTGAGGTAATCTATATTCACTGGCCATGAGAAATCCACTACTTCACTTCGAATCGATGTGGTGCCGAAGGGACCGAGAGCCACGTCAGCTGCCTGCAAGCATCGAGGGGTGTGTGGATTTAGCAGGTTTTAGGGGACGTATATCGCCATTAAAATGTGTATATATTTCGTATAAGCTATTTTTTTTTTCAAATTTCCTTACACATTTTAATGGCGAAGCATGATGCCCCAAAATATGGTAGATCCAAAGAAATTTTAATAAAGGCTTATCAAAAAATCCCATCATGTATACGAGGAATAGAAGACAGGAATTCAGCTAAATAAATTACAAATAAAAATCCATTTGTTTTATATGTTTAATGCGGTCAACCAATAATTATCCTAAAACATTTGCTCAATAATCCTACCAATGCTGGTAGGGTTATTAAACATTTTTTTCCTTGTAAAAGCATCTGATATACAATTCCTCGTCAAACTTTCATACAATGCATATTAGCATCCTTCTCATCCCCACACTGCTGACAAAATTTTCTTTCTCAACGGTAAACATTAAGCAGCAAGCACTAACATTCCTTCCTACATTCATACATCTGCGAGAACACCACTCAACTAAGAGAAAATTGTAACCCAATCTTTGTGTACTATACAGCATCCGTCCTCATGTATGGTGCCATTACTGTGATTTCTTACCCCTGTGATCACCATCCCCATCATGCCAGACCAGGAACCATCTTTCCTCTTGTTGCCCCAGATTCTATCAGGAGGCCTCACATACGTAATGCTAGAAAAATGACAAAGTATTTGGTATTAGTCGTTACGAAAACACTTGCTAGAAAAAATAGAAGGTTTATTAATTAATTGTAATAAGAGCATTGAGGAAAAGTAACTCCAATGAAGAATGTGGATTAATAGTCGAAATTTAATAATTTTTCTAAGAGAAAACTTGCCACAATAACCTGGTATTTTTCGCCATGGAATTGAAACCTTGTACATTATTTAATAATACCAATCTGGAAAAGTTCTCGTAAATATGTAGGCAATTTATCCTACTCTTAACTAATAAAATATTTACTTCCAGTATTAGTTTAGGCATCAGTTTTGCACTCAGATCAGTAAAATTCCATGGTTTGTACTACATAATACGATCTAAGTTACTTCGAACAATAATGTCATAATAATTTCAACTCTGCATGATGTTTGATGTTTTAAATAATGGGTTGCCCCAGGATAATATTACATTTTCGATGCAAATGCGAGCCAACGAGGATATGATAAAACTGACTGATCGACTGTGTCTAGAACTGCCTCGTCCAAGTCTCCCGACAACTCTCGAAAAATATACTACCTTTTTTAACAATTATTTTAGTTTCGTGACATGGGGACGAGAGCTATATTCCATCACCATCTATGGAGTGAAAAACTCGAGGCATAGTTCTAGTTCTGGTCTATATTAACACTGCAGAGTCTACAGATGGCATGTTGGATAAACTCATTATTGGAGATCCTCATGGTTCAGTGGTGGTGCTGCTGGCTTGTTTGTGCTCTTACTTGCCCAGCTTGAATCTCCTAACTCTCGAAACACACACACACATACATACACAAGCAAACACAAACACATTTATTTTCTGCTAAAGATTCGAGGCAAAAATTGCATCCAAGTTTCATTTTTTTTATATAAACCTGTAATTCAGCTTACGAGAAATTTGCCTGTGTTGCCATATACTCGATGATTTCAGATATGGCTCCAACGAAGGAGAGTCGCTGGCTCCCAGGAGAGTCAGGGTCAGCCACCATGATCGCTCTCTGACTCTGAAATTCCTCCGATGCTACTAGAAGTGTCGGTCTCTTTATGAATCTGTCAGGGAAGACACGTTAAGTTTAATAACTTTATAATGCGCCTCATACGCATCCTGTGGGTGGTAGTTAAAAGATTATTACAAAGGCATGTGATGGGTCCAGGGACCGGGCCCAGATGTCTCTGAATTCATTAACTTTTCGTATTCCTGCGCATGATAATGCAGGGTGTGATAATTGTTTACATCAGCTGGTGATGCATATTTCCAGAGGTACTTGTTGCCAAGCCGATGCCGGGCAGTAGTGACGTCCAAAAGTCTGCTGATTTTTTTTTGGATAAACCATAGATATGTGGCTCCTTCATGGTAGAATGATGATAGATGGAATGACTGGTGTAAGTCTCCCTCAGCTTAGCCTGAAGTAAATAACGTTCAATTGAAGTTTTCCGTATTATTTGTCTTCATACTACTGACACCCCAAGTATAAAATTACTCCCTTTGCCAATTCATTATTTCTTTCATGCTTCTAAAGACCAGTGTAAGAATTCACAGAAGGTTTGCATTGACTCCACTGTCTACAATCTTATACTTGTGTTTGGCTTGTAGCACAAGCATGCTTCAATTGACACTCTTAAAAGTTGAAGACATTTATATATGTCAGAATCTTATGGCAATTGCTATAAGTGAAAATAACAATCACTTAATAATTGATATCCTCATGCATAACTCCACAAAAATGAACAGCCACTCAGTGGTCAGTGATTGTATCATTTGTATTGAATCTTACCACAGTACCTACTTGAAGAACTTGTCAGGGAAGAGTGGAAGGTGAGAAGTGAGAACGAGTCCTCGAGTGGGAGTCCAAGAGGCCAACTGCAGCGCCGGGGATCCCTTTGGACAGTATGGAAGATATATATACACACTACACCTGTTCTTTGAGAAAATTTGGAATATTTAATGAGAATCTCAGTGTTTATATATGAGCGAATAAAGAATTTCAATATATCATGTATACTATGTCATATGCTTAACATATATTACATATTTTACCAAAGATTTTCTGAGGTCTTTTGCAAAATCAAAAGCATTGCGTTTGACATCGAAAAAAAATCATGCAGTTGATGCAACTGCTGGAGAGACAGGCTGGTGACGGCGAGGAGCCTCGTTGACCATACTAAGAGACGACCCTGTCGGGAGCACTCAGTGAAGGAGGCGAGGAACTGTGCGCTGTCACTCACTAGTACCACTGTCACGCACCATGACACTTGCCGTAGCTGTTGATATTAACATTCGAGCCGTTATTAGACGCAGTCATCATCGTAATGTGTTACAGATGTACCTCAGTAGTAATGTGACGTACCCACTTCAAAAGTAATGTGAGAATGGCGAAACCGTCTCAGTATTGATGTGAAAGTGATGTAGCCACTTCAGCAACAATGTGAGTGACGTAGCCATATCAGCTACGAAATCTGAGTGTGATGTACCTGCCTAAATAGCAACGTGAGTGAAAATAATCACCTTAGTAATGCGAGTGTCACCTACCCGCCTCAGTAGTAATGTGACAGTAATTTGAGAATGATGCACCCACCTCAGCAGTAATGTATGAGTTACGTACCCGACGAGCCTGATCAACCACTAGACAGAGCTGAGCCTGCGTCACGTTAGAGTCATGGTCGCTCTCTGCCACCATGAACACTGCCACGCCCCAGGAAGACCACAACTGGCATAAAACGAAATAGTTTAATGGCAAAATAGTCAGCAATTCAGTTAACTGCAAGAGTACAGCAGATATTTGTCTCTGGATATCACCCACCTCGAGGGATGCCAGGGTAGATATGCTACTGTCAGTGACAAGAATCACTGAGCAATTTTGTTGCTGCACGACTGAGAGAAGGGCGTCCACAGCTGCATATGCATGTGTTAACCCTTGATCCTCTGCTGAGAACATATGACTACTTTAAAATAACAGTTTCAACTTATTGTACAAGATTGTGTGCTATAGCTCATGTATCTCAACTAGCAAACGAGCAGAGTTTGAAGAATGAGGCAAACCAGTCCTGAAACGAACAGGCCAGTTCTCTCATCGTTAGTTCACACAGGTTTAATGAGGGTAATCTCAATGTGACCACAGAGTTACGTTTTAAATGGACGAATCTTACATCCCACATGGGAAAGATGGGGCCTTGTTTGAGTGTCATCAAAGCAGTAATCCAAGACAAGGAAAAATAGTAATAAAACGATAAGTGCCTCACTGAATAGACCTGTTAGTTTTAGGGGCTGCTTGACGTAGAATACTGCCCGTTTACTGTGCTTTTGACAATAGTATTAAGATTTTCTCGAGTCAGTTCATGCATGTTTGTGTAATTATAATAATAATAGTTTAGTATATTATTGTTATCGTCACGGCTAAAGAAATATTGAATAAGGCTATATGACTCAGGGGATTAAAATTGCTGATCGTGTGATATCAAATAACTTACGGTAAAGATGCTGTGGACAGACAATAGCTAACACTGATGCCCCATACTGGACCAGGATCATTGACGTCAGCATTGGTAGCATCTCTGCAATACCGCTCCTGTCTAAAAACAGTGTTGTTACCAATTATAGTTTTAAAATAATTTACATGACCATTGTGTCCCCTTATATATAAAAAAGATGTATATCCCTGTTATCATTATTATTACCATAGTTATTGTACGCATGGGGAAGAGCTCAAAACGTACAGGCCACATAGCGTCTGGTATATGGGAGGCATTCAGGTTTGATCCAAGTAAGGGGAGCGTAGCTCCAGTTTATAGATACCACGAAACAAGTGGAATGTTAAAGATTTAATCTGATGTTTCCTTCAGAGACATGATCGCGTGATTCTCACTTCTCACCTGTCATGTTTTTTCTTAACCTCTTGTCAGTATCCATTACCAAGATTCATGCTATCTCAGCCAGACCCAGATATAAGAAAAACAGTGATTCTACCTATGGTACAGTCAGTAAAGTCACTGTTTCTCTTTGGGTCTGGCCGAGACGTGGAGTCACACGTCCGAGTGTCACAAAATAACATGAGAATGTATGTATATGTTTATATGGAGGTCGAAATATAGTCCATTAATTTTGTGTGCTTTATTTGTCAATGTGAGGATTTTTTCTCTATACTCACAAATACTCCTTACTCACCAAATCTCACAATTAATTATATATATATATATATATTATATATATATATATATTATATATATTATATATATATATATATATATATATATATATATATTTATTATATATATACGTATACGTATGTATAAACTGACTTATTCTGAAAGGATACGATGAGAATCAGGGAGATATGTTTAACAGCATTCAGTAGTACATTACATTAACCTCTTGAAAGCTATTGTCCAGCTCCGCCTAAGTGGGCTAAGTGGGTCCCGTGCCTGGAATGAACTGAGGATTTCCTCTACGAATCGCCAAAGTGTATAGTAAATTTAAATGGTTCCAGTGAAATCCTTGGTAGTCCTGACACATTTATTACCTAACTTTTATGAACGTGAATGCACTTTCCCTGTGACCCGACGGTCTTAATTCCAATTAGTAATAACTTGTAGCACTGTATTTTAGGGTCTTCTGGGTGTTCCTGGAGCTATCATAACCGCTTCTTTCAGCTTCACTGTAATGAAGGTAAGTGTTAGCTGTTGTAGCTGCACATAGGTAATCCCAACCTGTCTGCTTTCCCTTGCTCCAGATTAGCAATGGAGACTTCATTTAGATGCTTGTGGCTGCCACTGGGTCTGCAAAGAGGAAATTCCTAATTGATGGACAACGGACTTCGTAATCTTATATCTTTGCGAGATCTTTGAAATATTTGTTTCTTGAATTTTTGTCACTAATATAAATGTTTCTGTGAATCATTCACAAGGATTTTGTGTTGGCCCTTCCTAATTTCCATGGTTTGTTTATAAGTTGAGTTGTGTGAAAGATATGAAACTGTGGAATTGTACCACTGTTCCAAATTTTTAAGATAGTATGCATAAAATGACTGGTAATAAAGACAGACACTTTCACGTAAGGAATGCATAACATCTTTCTCGTGACGCTCATCCTGCGTGGCAAGCTGGAGAGCCACTGACGAGATCGTAGATTGAGTCATTACTGTATGAATGACCTTTTGCTTCCGTCTCGACCTCTCTTTAGTAGGTCTACCGCTGCGAGGTCTTGTGTTGACATTGCCCTCTGCTTTTCCAGCGTCGTATCCACCTACACACGGTGGTGACACTGGTGTCCCTCTCATAGGCTATGGCCCTCGCTGACATTCCTCCCACCCACATCCTCACGAACATAACTCGTTCCTCCATATCTGTTGGCCGTGATGGACGCTGTCTCTCCATATTTATTCCTGAAAGCAGGAAGAGATCTTTTTAGCTGCAGATCATCTTTAGATGAAAATTAGATACATATCAGTCCCTCAGCCAGGGCTGAGGGACTGATTACCTCATCTTTTGTGTACAATTCTACTGTCTTCAAATTATGTCCTAGAATTTGTATTGCTAAAGCCACTGGATGGCGAAACGTCTGCATTAAAGATACCCAGATGTTGCATATGTCTAATTCTCATCTTGTCGATATTGTATACCGTTTATGAACAACACCTTTAGATTAGTGTCGTTATAAGCGCCTACTGCAGGAGGAACATTAAATATCATCAGTTGCCTGTGTTATGTATATCTTACAACAACACATCGCAAAAGGATCAAGATCAAATTATTTATGTGTGAAAATTGCGCTATATTTTATACAAGCCAAATTATTCCAGGATATCACTGCACTAATATACACCATCTCTAACGGCAACGCTGGACAACAGTACCGTTTTCTAGTTGTATCAGTGTGCCCCAGTATATCGTACCATATATTTCGCATTTTATCTTTACACCCCCGGCACTCCTTGCTTCGCACTGTATTGCTACACCAATACAGCACACCAATTACAATTGCACTGTATCAGTGCACTCAGCAGTGTCAGTGCACCCCATTACCGCACCTTAAGACGCTCTGTCCATAGATGTACTCCAGTACACCTTATTTCTCACTCTCACTGCATCCCATTACACTCTTGTTTCTGCAGCAACAATTTTACACTCATTGCAGTTATTTGCCTTCTATACAATTTCTTTTTTCCACGATCTGTGATATTGTGTCTATGACACACTTTAATATGTCAGGTTTAAGCCCTTAAAGCATTTTATGTATTTTATGAATATTTATGCATTCGGTGTACCTATTACTGTATCCAGTGTCTGTCTATATATTTAATTAGATATTCGACAATATATGTTGGAAAAGAAGTTGCATAAAATGGAGGATAAGTTTGAGAGGGTGAATAAGCGAAGAAAATTAGAAGTGAACATTAGAAGAGCAACGTGATGAAAATAGAAGAAAATGTCTTCGAAAGGAAAACAGAAGTTTATCTAAAGTGGTAAAAAGGGAATGTACTAGATAGTGGTACCCTCACTTTTATATGGGTGTGAGGTTTGAGCTTTAAACGTTGCAGCAAGTAGAAGGCTAGAGGCAGTGAAGATGTCGTGTTCGTGCAGTGTGAATAGTATGTAACGAATTCACCGCGGAAAAATTAGAAGAGGCATGGTTTTACGAAAGACCCAAATCAGAGGGATTGGAGAAGAGTGCTTTTTTTAACGATTTCATGTGATGTTGGAGTGTGAACATGGTAATATATGAAAAGGAATTCGGAGGAAACCGGGTAGCGTTTCCTTTTGGGGAAAAATCAAATCTGAATGCCTCATTTACCAGGTGCTGTATTACTAATAATAATTTTTTGTTACTTGGCAGTAATTAATATATTTAATAACTTAGACACGAGAAGGCTTCTTTGTTGTTATTTTCATAATGTTGATTCACCTCTTAAAGAATCAATAATATTTTTCCCGTTTAAATGTATTTTTTCCTCTACGGTTAACAATTACATTACGGCAATCAAATTCGAGTTAAATATAAATATATTTTGATAACGCTCAGGCAAGAGCAAACACTGTGTTAAGAAAGGTTGTTACAGACTCACAGTTAGGGGGAAGTGGCACTGTTTGTTACCAGGGTGTTGACAGCGTGAAATGCTCGTAAACAGTGAGGCTCGAGATCACTCCCCAGGGTTTATATAACCCACCTAGGTGTTCCCGATGATGCATCTCATTCCTTGACGTCAGCGAACTCTCCATTGAAGGGCAAATCATGTTGGAGCTTTCACGTGATTGGTGTATACAACTACAGAATGTATTATGATGGAGTGTAACTGGCGGATGGATACGAATCCAGTAAAACTCTGTTAATGATAAATATACGGAGACTAGAAATCGCACTACAGTAGCTAGAATATCAACCATGAGCATTTAAATGACAAAAAATTGATGACTTTATGTCTGTTCGGAGCTGCACTATGAAGACGCGATGATGATCCAAGACTGTGTCAGACGCTAGTTAGTCTGTCATGCAATAAGATTTATTTTATATAATATGGTGAATTACTAGAATATCTTGTATTTGGGAATATCCAAGACTGATAACAATATATAAACATTTTTACAGACTCATAAAATTTTAATAAAATATTATGTCTAATAAATTTGTATATTCCAAACTCTGCTGGATCAGACTTTAAATTTTAAGAATTTTGATCCATTTAAGGTAACAATTTAAAGTCTCTGTGAATAATTTCAAGTGAAGGTCTTCATAAACAAGGTCAATAAGGTCAAATACCCACCAAGAGACCTTGTTTAAGAAGAGCTGGAGGTACAAGAGTTCAGGACACGAGTCTCCTGGGAGGCTGTGTGGCAGGCATTTGTACATACTGTATTGAAAGATTGATGCTAAATCATTGCAATACATTCAATGCTATTGTATTACGAGTAGAGAAGAACATGCTCTGTGATGGAGTACATATTTCTAACTGTATAAATAATTTTGTTCAAGCCACACAAATCATTTTGTTCACCTGAATAGCCAAGAATAAATATACAGCTGAATTTGGCCCCAACACTCAAGCTTTTTAACTTCTTTTAATTTTGTAATAAAGTTGGTAGAATTACCGACAATATGTAAAGTAAAAGGACACAAGTGCAACTAATGTGACATTTATTGTGGCAACGTTTCGCTCTCCAGGAGCTTTATCAAGCCATTACAAACAATACATGGACACAGAGGGTATATAAAGGCTCAGAGTGAGGTGCAATACTAGTGAGGTAACATTTCGATGTTCACTAGTGGTGGTAGTAGTAGTAGTAGTAGTAGTAGTAGTAGTAGTAGTAGTAGTAGTAGTAGTAGTAGTAGTAGTAGTAGTAGTAGTAGTAGTAGTAGTAGTAGTAGTAGTAGTAGTAGTAGTAGTAGTAGTGACAAAAGTAATACAATATGGTAGAGCAATTAATTCGTACATGAGCTTTTATATCCTTTTACTCATGTACGAATTAATTGCTCTACCATATTGTATTACTTTTGTCACTACTACTACTACTACTACTACTACTACTACTACTACTACTACTACTACTACTACTACTACTACTACTACTACTACTACTACTACTACTACTACTACTACTACCACTAGTGAACATCGAAATGTTACCTCACTAGTATTGCACCTCACTCTGAGCCTTTATATACCCTCTGTGTCCATGTATTGTTTGTAATGGCTTGATAAAGCTCCTGGAGAGCGAAACGTTGCCACAATAAATGTCACATTAGTTGCACTTGTGTCCTTTTACTTTTAATTTTAAGAGTGCAAATATCGACGATTTTTGTAAAGTATAAAAAAGTGTATCTTGTTATTTTTGTTATTTTTCATTACTGAATTTTGTATATTGGTGTAATATAAATTAATTATTAAAAAAGAAAGAAGCTACTGACTGAACCTAATGTATGAATGTGTCACCGTCGGTCCAGTGTTCAAGTGTTCATTTGATCAAACAACGACTGATTTACTCCACAAACTCTGATGATACTTTTCGCACTCCCCTCAGCCCTTTCTAGTTCAGTCTCTTGCTGCCCTTTACCCTTTCACCCCGCTGTTATCCGTAACCTATTACTCATCCATCTCCCTTTTGCCACCTGATGCCCTCGCTTCCTTCCTGCCCTGCAGCGCTGTATAGCCCTTGTGGCTTAGCGCTTCTTTTTGATTATAATAATAATAATTCATTTGATCAATGCAAACAACAATTGCAGTGAAATACAGTGAACGTCATCACAGTATTTGAGAAATGCACTGCTAAACTATAGGCCAGTGAGTAACGCGATAAAATCACAACACTTGTCAACGCCATTGTACTGCATACGACAGGTTTGCCTAATTTCCTGTGTCGTAGCTCATGGCATTTAATCTATAGATGTGAGTATAGTTTACCTGGAGTTTACCTGGAGAGAGTTCCGGGGGTCAACGCCCCCGCGGCCCGGTCTGTGACCAGGCCTCCTTAGGTCAGTGTCCCAGGATGCGACCCACACCAGTCGACTAACACCCAGGTACCCATTTTACTGATGGGGAACATAGACAACAGGTGGAAAGAAACACGTCCAATGTTTCTACTCTGGCTGGGAATCGAACCCAGGCCCTCACCGTGTGAAGCGAGAGCGTTAACCATTCCATGACCCGACTGTCTTGACACTGGAAAAGTAACTCTTAATATCTCGATGATTCATATGTTTCTTAAATTTTAGATTATTTCTATTTGTCCCACGTGACCTACTTGGCAGCTTACTCCACTCACGTGCGATTCTGTTTCCAAAATGAGTGATTTCCTATGTATTTTTATAGGTGGCATGTAGGTCAGTGGTAGAGAGCTTTTCACACGACGGAGTTCAATTTCCAGGCAGGACGTGACGTATTGGCAAGTCTTGTTACAACCACTGGTACACTAAGAGAAAACACAATAAGTGTCCGGGGCCCAAGACTGTTCAACAGCCTCCCACCAGCCATAAGGGGAATTACCAATAGACCCCTGGTTATCTTCAAGGGAGAACTGGACAGATACCTAAAATCGGTGCCAGATCAGCCGGGCTGTGGTTCGTACGTTAGACTACGTGCGGACAGCAGTAACAGCCTCGTTGATCAGGCCCTGATCCACCAGGAGGCCTGGTAATGGACCGGGCCGAAGGGGCGTTGATCCCCGGGATGCCCTCCATGTAGAATCCAGGTAGACTCCAGATAGACTCCAGGTAGACTCCAGGTAGACTCCAGGTAGACTCCAGGTAGACTCCAGGTAGACTCCAGGTAGACTCCAGGTAGACTCC